ATATAATAGTTATACAATGCTTTCTCATGGCACACCATGGAATATCCCACTTGTCACTTGTATATAATAGTTATACAATGCTTTCTCATGGCACACCAATTTGGAATATCCCACTTGTCACTTGTATATAATAGTTATACAACACTTTCTCGTGGCACACCAATTTGGGATATCCCACTTGTCATTTATATTTTCTTTGTATAGACACTTACCTGAAGGCCCACTTGTAGACATAGAAAATGCAAGTGAAGTGTGGTATATTCCATGGTATGTTATGATTTGAAAGCATTGTTAATAAACTAATATGTATCTTGTTAAACTGATACTATCTATAACAACAGAAGTTAAGCCCATGCAGTAGTACCAACCTTCCTGCCTGGACCAGAGTTTATCTTAGAATGTTGGTAGGCTCTTTGTAATGACATGCTTGCTTTGAAGGCTTTTAGCTCCTCTACCTGTCATAGATGAAAATTAAAAAAATAAATGAGCAGGGATGCACACTGCATGCCTACCATATGTACCATATATGTCACTAGTGTTGTGCATAATTAATTAATTTCCTATAATTGCCTACTTCCTACAGTAGATATGCTTTGCTTGTCATGCACGAAGGTTTCAATGTGAGGCTTCGTGACGTGTATAAATGTAATGCTCAGTGATTTATGAAAGAAGAAGAGAATTAAATTTGGCACAGAGACTTGTACTGAAACCTTTGTGCATGGCAGGCGAAGCATATCAAGTCGTGGACAAGTACTCTGATGCCTAGATAAAGGTATCAATAATATCATCTCCAATGATCATTAATTAAAAGAATAAATTAACTGAAATCTTACCTTTTCTTGTTCTAATGCACTCATTCTTTGGCTAACATCATGAACAGAAGAGCCTGCTGTAGATATGCGTGTTGGATGATAATGAAAATTTTGTGGGCTTTTCTCTCCAAGAGATAATACCTATTAGGGTATACAATTCAAAAGAATGTTATTAGATAATTTACTTTAAATTATTTTTTTCTGAGAAAATAATTAAGAAAAAATAATAAACTAACCAGTTCCTTGGGTGAGATAGATTTACCCCTCCTGCCAGTATGTACCATGGTCTTTCCATACCCTCTTTGTGGAATTCTAGAAGAGCCAGGTGCTGGGGGTCCACCAAGCATTCCACAAAATTTTCTCTTATGGGTATCGTAAAGAAGCCTTGAGTCGAACTTCATATTACACTCATCACATTTCCAGGTATCCATTGCTTTCTATTCTTGTCGTTTACTTTTTCTTATTTAATTTTTTTYCCGAGTTTTATCAAGTTTTAGATAGTCGTAGTCTGTAGTTGTTCTTGCCATAAAGCTGTCCATCAGCATTGAGCAGTCGAGCTTCGCACAGATTTCTTTCTATAAATTCTCTTACATATTCTTAATCATTTGATTATTTGTTCATTATCCTCCATATCCTTCAAGGTCTGCTTTTCTTCATGATCCATAAATCATAAACATTATTTCAATAATCTTATTATGCCATATTTTTTTGTGCTAATGTTGCTATGCAATTTTAACTATGAGCCCGCTGTATATACAGCCAGCAGTTGTGCCAGCCTCACTTCATAGTCACGTGATATAATGCTCGGAAATAACATTCTCCGTCTTCCCCCCCTCCCCCCCTCCCCTCCCCCTTTATAGAAATGTCGTACTTCAGTGTATTTGTTGAGGAACATACATTCATCAAGAGGACAAAATTCACGAATAGATTCGTTAATGATTATCAGCGATTTTGTATAATATACTTATGCGAGGGGGCTGAATCTGAATTCTATCAAATAACGGGCAGCTCCAAATCATCTCGTTGCAGTTTTCTTATACTTCTAAAACTATTTTTTCCTTCTTCTTGACGATTACAGATGATCAATTCAAAGAAGGGTTGGGGAGATTTTTTTTCTTCGCAACTCCGCAGACCGCCGAGCAACGCAGTCCGGTAACGGGAGCTACCGGTACTGAAAGTAACACTAGTTGCCTTCGTTACAGACGTTTGGGGACAGGTAAATATTCCCCGTTCCCGAGAAGAACCAACCAGAAATGCATTGTAAGCTGCATCGTATTTATGGTAGACAGGGCTGCCATTGACAGCAGTGTCCATAGGGTCACTAAAGATATTACCCTGTATAAATATAGGTTTCATTTCAATTCATCCATTCATTATGAATAAAAGTTGTGTTTATGTTTGAACATGACATTACATTTTATATCATATATATTATAACATTTGATTGAATATTTTATAATTATGTATATACTTAAATCTGCCTTATTTTTGATATTTTTAATTAATGTCATTCTTTTGTTGTTGATTGAATATTTAAAAATCGGCCTTATATTTTATTATTTAATCAGTCATTCTTTTGTTGTGGCGCTTTTGATCAATTCGACATGGAAAATGCACCCTATAAGTATTAAATTATTATTATTATTATTATTATTATTATTATTATATTATTATTATTGTCTCTGACTTGTGAAATTTACAATTTTTAAACAGACGATTCGGGTCTAAACAAAGACTTCCATCAGTGTAACTGAAAATGTTTGCACTCGCGCGTTTCTTCATAGCATGCGCAATAGCGTGCGCAATAGCGCCCCCCAAGAAAATATGAAGTACTTAATATATTCTCTTGCGCCCCGCAACACAACTATATCGTTTCTTTCCTACTCGCTAAGCACAAATCTCCTCTTATTAAAAAAATGATTCCAATAACTTTTGACCGAATAATGAATATCATGGAAATGAACTTTTCATACAAATAGTCAAAAGTTATTACATCAAAGACTGAAATATCACTTGTAGATCAATACTTGTTGTATTAGTAATCGTTGTTTGGGTGTGGGTTAAAAACTGATTATACTCTATCGAAAAGATGGCTTTATAGTTCCGATCAATTAAAATATTAATATATTTCTCGTCCAAATCAAATACTTGGGTTTTTTCTTTATTCTTTTAAAATGTTATTTTATATATTCTCCTTTTTTTTTCAGATGATGATGCTTCGTTAATCCTACATGTATCGCGCTAAGCCAACTTAAGCTCTCATCCGCTTCTTTGCTGAACGCGGGAGCTTATTAGCGATAGAGCTGAAAATCTTGATGTTAATATAAGATATTATTCATGTGTCTTATAATTAAAATGAATAACAACTAATCGTTTTTGATTCTTTAATTTTGAACAATATAAATTATCCAGTCAGGAAGCTTTTCAGTTCACTTTGTCGATGGCAATTGTATTACTGCGGAAACAATTTAGACTTTTCGTGACTTACAAGTGAAATGTCAAAACCTTATTCACTTGTTCATCAAACTTAGCTTATGTGTCTTATTTGTCAGAGATAAATCAAACAGACAGAGGCAGTCTAGGATATTACCACTTGTTCGTCTTAATCTTCCTTTGTATCAGATGCACAAACCTCTATTATAGAAAGATCGAGAGCGCGCCGTTTTAATCTCGATCAAGACTTGACGTGCGGCATTCATTCGATCAACACATATTGAATGCTCTTTATCTTTATCTTTTTCCGCAGAAGTGAGTTAATTGGAGCAGGAAGTTTCGACTTTTTTTCTCATAATGTACGACTGTTTCTTCCTAAGCATTCAAAGTGAGAAACAGAATTCAGTTTTCATACTGGACGTCATTCTTTGCCTCATCAACTTTATGTTTGGAATCACCGCAATCTGTTCCAACTCGTTAGTACTGGGTTCAATTCTACGAACTCCATCGCTCAAATCTCCATCTAACACGCTTCTTCTTTGCCTCGCCGTTTCGGACCTTTTGGTTGGGCTTCTCGTACAGTTATCTTACATTCCGTATCGAGTTTTCCTGCATATCGAAGCCCTGGAGATCACATACACATGCATCGCTGGAACCGTGTTTGAGATAACCGGATGGTTCCTATCAGCTATAACATTCTTTACTTTATTCGTTATAAGCTTCGAACGATATGTTGCCATATCATTCCCGTTAAGGTACAACCAAGTCATAACCGTCAAGAGAGTGATCAAAACTTTTGTTGGAATCGTGTTTTTCTCGGGTGCACTGGCGTCTTCTCGACTCTATGTAATTAGCAATAGAATCCTACGCACTATCAACGCTGCGCTCATACCTGGGAACTTCTTAACCTTATGCTGTGTGTATTATACAATATTCCTGGTTGTCAAGAAGAAACGACTTCAGACTCACAAGCTGAGAACGAGATTTGGAACCAGCGCATGCGCAGTTGAGATCCAATTGGTGACCGAACTGAGACGATTCACTAAATCGACGATGACCATGGTTTACATTGGAAGCGTTTTCTTCATCTGTTATATTCCATTCTTTTGTACCATGATAGCTTACTTGGTTCTCGGGGACACTAGATTAGTCAGCACGTTTTATTACATCACGTTGACAATACTTTTTATTAGTTCGTCTCTGAATCCTTTCCTCTATTGCTTCAGAATGAAACCTATTCGAAGCGCAATGAAAAAGACCTTTGCAGAGGTTATTTCTTACTTGATTGCTCCCCGCGTTGAGTATAATTAAATTGAATTAATATTCTACACACTCAAACATCCTCATGCCCTTTTCGGCGGAAAAATCGATTTTTGTTAGAAAGCTGAGGAGGCCCGGGTACGAGAATGCACCCTCCATCGAGCATCTAAAATACTAAGCATATACACCTATTTCGAAAATCGTTATCGCACCAAGAGCCTCAAGTAACAAGCCAAGGCTCCAGAGAACGTCGGTACTTTTAATTATAATTCATTTATTCATGGTTCATGCAAGTGGCTATAGCTCTCCACTAATTATCATCTCAAGCAGCCTTGCTTGGAGCRATTTGTGAAGTCAATAAATGAAAATGCACCATAAATAAACTAATTACAGCTTAAAGTACCGGCGTTCTCTGCGGTCTTGGCTTGTTGCTTGAGGCTTTTGGTGCGACAACGATTTTTGAAATAGGTGTATGCAGTCTGATCAAGTGGCTATATATTTGGTACTTTGTGCAGATGGCAAACAAGAGAACTGCAGAACTGCAATATGCCCAATATCAGCCTCATTAACTGTTTATTCAGACCACCCTCATCGATCTTAGCGACGTTTTTATATTAGTCGTATGGCAATTATATGAATACATTTAAGTTCATTTATTTATATCAGATAAAATTGTCAAAATGCATGTGAAATAAAGTATAAAGAAACCTTAGTTGACCTTTGAAAAGTCTGAGTACCTCTCTCGCCATACGCACTTAGATTTTGGATTAGGGAGTTTTAACGTTTTTTCCTTCGCTTTATTTGACAACTTGACGATTTCATTAAGTTTTTTAAGCCGTCGTCATACATATCCTTTATAATATGACACCACAGAAACCTAACTGGGGTACCTGTGGAGCGACAGGGAGTTTGAAAATGGATGAGCTGGAAGTATTAAGCAAAGATCATTGTCATCCTAAAGTCCGCGGTTTTCCTTCACCAATACTTTGTAGTCTTACCCTCCTGAGTTCTACAAACTATTGGCAATGATTAAGAACAATATCGTATTTCTTTAACGAGCACTTAAGAACTTTCTTGTAAATGGTTTTACATACACGTCGTCCAATTACATATAAGAGGATAAGAGTAAATGGGTTCCTTCCTTTGAATGGCGGGGTTTCCTGTTGGTAGGCCTTACGATGGGAATGTTCTATCTCCATGGCAACAGCTGTAAACAGAGCGAGAGGATGAAAACATTTTGATTATCAGTCATTTTAGGGTGATAACATACTATTTTATCCATACTTATTGTTCTATTAAGACATAAATAACACAGCGTGCGGCTCGAGGTTTGAAACGCTAGTAAAGTTAAGCTTCCATTTTTCTGTTAGTTTAACATACGGTAATACCACGAGCAACGAAAGTGGCTAACTTGAAAAACCATGTGGTCTGAAGAAGCAGAAAAAACGCTTGATAGATATTGATTTTTTGGCAGTGCTACTAAAGGGTCTGTTTATAAACTGCTAGGAAAGACATAATTCTGCTGTTAAAGCTGTGTGTGTGTGAGAGAGAGAGAGAGAGAGAGAGAGAGAGAGAGAGAGAGTACAAATTTCTTTAGTGTTAGATATCTTGAACTTGCAACAAACATCGATGCCAAAAGGGTTCTCGCCATTCTTGCTTCAGCATGAAAAAAAATTTCTTCCTTGCCTCTTTTTGATTTAATAAAAGGTTGATCCTTGAAAAAAACAAATTCATATATCGAATCTGATACCTTATCAGCAGATCAAACACTTGACTCTTTCCTTTAGTATCATTTGTACAACGTCATATATCATATCATTTCTCCCTCCAAATGTCGTCATGGTAACGGTTTGACCAATTGAAATTATTTTTAGGATCCAGATTGAAGGTCCTTGGGATTCGTACTAAACGCAGCAACGAATTTAATTGTAGCGCCAGATTGCAATATGCAACGTGGCTCGCCCTACCCCTCAAATTTTAACTACTACAAATATATACCCAAATGTAATTAATCCCGCGCAGATTAGTTTATTTAAAATGATACCTATCCCTTTTACCGGCGGGCATTGACTTTGTAAACGCTTGTTCAAATTAATTTGGTGTAAGATAGCGATATCGCTACGATATCTATTTACCAAGCTAGTGTTTGCAGCATTAAACATGACATGTTTGGAAGCTCGTCCGCGGATCTGTTAATTGGTAAGTTGGTACTGAATAAACTTCTGTTTGAGCAGCCATCCGTGAGGTCTATTGTGTTGCAAATTCACGTACAAAACATTGATATAAGTACTGTTGTCTATTGATATTAAGCGAACAGTAGTCACCATCTGCTCATTCGTAAAGATACCAAGCTGTCGTACGATCGTTCGATTGATCTCAGTGGATGATCGACATAGAAGGTTTTGCAGTCCATTGCTCTAAATTTGAAGATATAGTTAATTGACGAATTCTTCGTTATCATGAAGAATCGTGGTGGCGTAAGTCTAGCGCTAATCTTGGGGTGTTTCTGCATCGTTGCTACACAAGCACTGAGTAAGTCATTTTCATTTTGGTTGCATTATTTTAGTTAACTTAACCAAGTTATTCGATGTTTTCCATATGCGTTCGTATTGTTATACAATATTAATTCAATGTTGGCTTTCCAATTTTATGAATAAATGATTAGTACAAGCATTAGTCAAATGACTATATCACTATATATCAACGGCTCAGTCAAATGTYTTTGAACCGTTAATTGTCCCGCTCTTTTATGAAATCATTTTCCGTTCAACATGAAAAGCGCTAAATTAAAATGGCGCCAAAATAAAATTCCCGGATGGGATTAGGATGACATTGAACCGTTCATTTTCATGATAATGGCGTAGGGCGTCAACAATCCCGCTCAATCTGGATATTTTGTCCATTCATTAATCATTCCCGCCATTATTTCGTTTAAATCAAATAATTCTGCTGAATTTAATGGGTTTTTTTCAATATATGACATGCAGATAGATGTTTGGTCACACATGGTGATGTCCCGTGTAAAGGTAAGTATAAATACTCCAAACGATAACTGAGGAAGGAAGAAAAAAGAAAAGCAAAATAGACGCCAGACACTTTAAAAAAACATAGGCTAACTGTGACAGCTATGAAAAAAGATTTTGCATGGAGTAAGCTTTTCCCCCAAAAAAGTCTAACCTGCTTCTGAACTAAAACTAGAGAAACTTCAAAGTATTCCTTCATGAATTCACAAAGTTTTCGTATGTGTTTTCTATTGCGCGCATAAGATCTTGTTCGAAATTGCCTCGTTTTTGAATTTGAGCACGCGATACTTTTGACAGCACATCACGGATGTCCATTCACAGTTATCAGTCAGGCGGGATAAATATTTGGTGATGAGTCGGAAAACACGACTGTCCCATAACCTTAATATTTATTATCATGTTCGCAGCATCAGGTCCCTTACCAATCACTCTTGAGTGTCGTTACCCTGGACAATGGTTCGAAGTAAAGAAGACCGAGGTAAAAACGCCAACGGGGCACTGGAATCAAGTATCTATGGAAACTACCGCTGACAAACAATGTAAGCAAACCAAGAAGGCATCAGGCAAGGATTTTGCTTGTGACGTCACACAGTTCTCAGATATGGCCCGTGTGCGTCAAGTAAGGATAACGTACTCTTGCTGGGAATTCGGTAAGTTAGTTGAATAAGGGACCTTTAGATTTTTTTCGAGGAAGAGAGGGTTGTTAGGCAAAAAACCCAAAAAAATTCGAGCACTGCTTTAGAGAGTGCAAAAAAAAAAAAAAAAAAAAAAAAAAAAAAAAAAAAAAAAAAAAGAAGGAAAAAAGAAAAAAATCGTGCATAAGAAAGGTGCCAGAAAAAATCCATGAATTATGTCCAAAAAAATTCCTGGCGGCTGAAAGGTACGAAAAGGATATCGATTAAAGATGCGCAAAAAATAGACAGAAATCATTCTGCCATGCTCCCTTACATTGCCCTGAAGATGGACAATATTTCCGAAAGAGAGACAAAAATAGTAAATATGTTAACCTAGTCAAATTTGCCTTAATTAGTTTTTATCGTTTCCTTCAGATCCCGATTTACTTGGAGGCTTTGGAAGGAAGAGAAGTAAAAAATTCCCTCTGTCAGTCATGCCATAGACCAAGAAGACCACGGAATGTTGCCACAGTAATCATAGTGAGAGATTCCCTGGCCCATTGAAAGCCTCAGCATTTCGCAACATTATAATAATCTATTCTAATCTACGTTATATTAATAATCATAATCTTTATTGAGGAAACTTTTTCATCTTTTGACGATTTTCAAAAAGGACCTCTACATTATGTCTATTATATCTTAAATGAACACATGATTAACCCACGTGATGGAAGAAAATAGAATACATTGTTTTCTTATTTTGGACTTTTGAGTGGGGCCGGTATTGAGAATGTCATCCTTTACCACACATAGGAACCATTGTCACAGACAGGGGTATTCCTATTCTACGTAGCGAGTGAAAAGGACCATACAAAAATTATTTAGGAATTCAAAAGATTCGCTTCAATTTTCTGCTTAATCTTCCCGTTCGCTTATATAAGAGGGCACTATCCTTGCCTCGTAAAATAAAATACATAAAAGAGGCTATTTTTAAAACTTTATTTTCAACTTCCACAAGTATCTAAACTGGGTTTCCTGTGTCAGAGCCAGAATTTTTTACAAAATTATTTTGATTTCTATAAATATAAATCACTATCACAACGATGATTGCGATTCATTTATCAATTTTAGATAGTTGTGACAACTGGCCACAGTTATTTCTGTAAAACAGAAGGCCATTAGGAGTGGGGTTGTAACAATGAATCCAACAATGTACAGAGAATCGTGTCAACAAGCTAGCCTTTACATTCCATTCTATGTGCAATTTTTCAAATTTACGAATTTCATTGTTTTACTTAACCTTCAATCTCTTGAACTATTGAATTTATTTTTTGCGCTCTGATTTTTACTAGTTTATCATCAAATCTGTTATGCATTTGTTATTCATATATTGCAATATTTCTTTGAAATTATCTCTCAAAAATTAAGGAGTCAATTGGCTATAAAATTCAGTTCTCATGGTTGCTAAGGCAATTATACTTGTTGCTAGGCAACACATTGTAACAGCATTAATGCCTACGTTAATCGTATAAACGTACCGTATTTTTCCCTTTTCCTACCATGTGTCCTTGATCATTATTTTTCATTACTAGTATTTATAATATTCATGAGTCACAAAATGACTTATTCTCAAAGGAAAGGATACGTGGTCTGAAATGGGAAAAACATTAGGCACAAGATGGAAAGGATGTGTATTTATTTATGCAGGCATCGGACTTCTTCGTCGTCGTCACTATGGTTACAGGTTGCTAGGTAACCGATGATGTAGTGTTCTATTGAGGTAGCAAAGAACCCCACATGTGGAAGCAAACAGCATTTAGAACACTGTAGATGTGATCTCTGATTGGTTTTTGCAGGTGACGTAACTCATCGTTCTTGTCACTACCGACGTCGCTACGGAAAACTATTTGGATATCCTGGAAAAAAAAGAATAAAACGATGGAAACTTAATTATCCAATCCAAGGTTGAAGAAATAACTGGGTCGAGCTGGCATCGCAGTGACTTATGGGATTGTTTAAGGCGACAAATTTCAAGATGGCGTCTATTTCGTTCCCTAAACAAGCCCCATAATGCACTGCGTGAAACTCTACCCAGTTTTTGGCTAATTTTTCTTGATCGATCCCCATGCATTACAGCTATCGTTCATATTGTGCAATACTAAAAAAAACATCCATCTTGATTGATCTAACCAGAGAAGCTAATGAGGAATAATTTGTTATCGGCAACCAACATGGCGAATATGACGTAACATGTAACCCAAGAATTTGCAAAAGCTGCCATTTAAATAGTTACCTAGTGTCTCTTACTGTCAAACAAAAGTTCAAATCCTATCTGCGACATTTCGTCTTGGCGCGCAGACCCTGAAGCATTGTATTTGAAATACATTTTCCAATTCTTACCGTTTTACTGGTGCTCTCATCGACAAATACGAGTATGAACATGTCAAGGTCGTTTGGATTGAGTAAGACAAGATAGTGAAGACCGTCATCATCAGAGAACAAACGATGAAGATAAGAGAACTTCGCTATCAAAACCCTGGATAAAAATAGGAAATAACATTGTAAGTCATATGCTTTCAAGGAACAACTGAAGGGTTAGATAAGCAAGGCCTAATGTCGACTCTGTGACTTAAGGTGGCTGCCTACTTTTGAACGTTCGATTTGAGCCCACGATGTG